GATACTCTAAATAGAATGACATATCATATTCAACTTTTGACATTTTTGCATATGGTTTATTTGAAATTGTAACAAATTGTCCAAATATGCTAAAGAGCCACCCTTGTTCCATTTGAAAAAATTAGATATGATTAAAAATACGATTTGGGTATATTTTAACCGGCCAGGACAAGACACGAAAAACATTAGACGATGAAATCTATTTTCCAAAGCTTCCTTGCTCCTAAAAATTAATGTTTTTAACATAGCCATGGCACTCTAGATTGAAATTTAAGATACGAGTTTTTATAAGCGAAAATGTCAAAAGTTGACATATAATATGTCATTCTACTCAGAGTGTCATTTTCTATCCAATAAAGTAGAAATATACTGAGGGTGTTATTTAAAATTTAAAAGTTGTAGTCATTTCCGGTGAAACAGGAAGTGACCAAAAACAATTGAATACGTCAATCAATCCTAATTTATGTCATATACTAACATACCAAATATCGTTTTTTATCTGTTATAGGGGTGAGCCACTTTCAAGAAGCAACTGGTATACAGGATGTCCCAGGTTGAGCGAGCATTAGAAGTTTCTAGAGAACTACAATATCTAGATCGGAGATTTTTTGCACATAAATGTTTCACAACGAGATCTATCGATTAAAAATATTTTCAATATGGCGGCACTTCTAGAAATAACGGAAGTTGACAGCAACTTTCTTATTTTAAATAGGTGTCCCATTTTTTATTACACACTTAAATTCTCTGTAAAATTTTATGAATTCTGATATCGAACACTTTATACCTAACATTAACCGTTTTTGAGAAAAAAAATATTTAAAACTGTTGGATGAAAAAAACTGCCAGTCAAAAATATGTGTATAGCCTAAATGTCAAATATAGTGATTACCACAGCCACTGTGCCATAAAGTGAAGACATATATGCTATCTATTTCAAAAATTAAATTGTTCAAATGTCATATAATAATAGCCGTAGCTGTCATGGAATTGAGTGATTAAAAAATTATCATAAATCATTTTTTTCAAATGGAAACCCACTTTTTTTAGTTCACTGGTGAAATGCCTTTTCAATTCGTTACTTTTTGACTGTAAATGTTCCTATACCTAAAATAAATCGTTTATAAGTTATTTAAGATTAAGTTTTAAAGCGTATATTTTTCTTGATTTTAACCAGTAAGCCTATGACACACAGTGCACACACAATTTTTCTTAAGATTTGTTTAGAAACTTCATCACGAAACATTTCTTTTTGAAAATGTCTGCAGTCCATTAAGAAAACAACAAAACGGAACCAACATTACAATAACATTAATATATTCTTTTGTGAGATCTGGAATCAAATTTATGCAAATTATCTGGTTTATTTTCGTCTGTCATTCGGTTTGTCTCTTTCGTCGTCCCTCTGGTCAATTCGAAAATTAATATTTATCCGCATCATGTCGCGGTCTCTAAGACGGAATTAATTCGTTTGCCCGGCCTAAGCAAACTTGCAAATTGTAGCCGACGACGACGTTCTCTTTGATGCTGAATTAACTTCTTAGTTGCTCCACTTTACCTTCTGTTCCCTCAGGAAACGTAGAATTTATTTTGATTATTCTCGTTCTAGTTATCTATACAGGGTGCTACAAATTCGAGATACGAGCATTGGTAACTCGGTAACCGTAATAGATACGAACATGGTTAAATTGGGGCAAAGTTGCCGTTTGGGATGTTCACCAAGATGCTATCAAAAAAGTTTTAAAAATTTCATGGATTGCTGAGTTTTTTGGAAAAAACGGATATTTTTGAAAATCAATTTTATTTTTTCCTGTCGATACTTTTTAGAAAATCAAAAAACTAATTGCACATTCTCATAGCCACTTTATTAGGGCTATCTGGTAGTATTTTTAGATTTTCAAATCAGATAATTTGTGAGATACATAGGTCAACTTAATTTTTTTAAATACGGACCTGCATTTTTTATTTCAGATTTTGAAAGAAATCGCTCCTCTGAGTACAATGATATGCCACACTTAATATTTTTTTTGTTTCTGTATAATTTCGAAATTTAAGTATATTTGTAGCAATAATAATTATGAGTACATATACATACCTCTATTTCGAACAAACAATAGAATGACAATCATATCTCAAAATATTATGTTAAATTATTAATAAAGAAAAATTCGAGGGGTCTCACTTGTGTAAAAAAATTGCATGTACTGCCAAAATATAATTTTACTGCCAAGAGACTATCATTGACTGCAAAGAAGACAGTGAGACACACCCTCGAAAAATTTCAAGATAATCAATATTCAAGATTTGTTGACTAAAAGAAGCTAAACTTTAAAAATTACTATTACGACAGTTGGGGGTTGAAACCTTTGGTGTTATATAGCAAAATAAAACACTAAATCACCACAATACACCAAAATACTTTTACTTTCACAATGGACGCGCGTTTCGCCAACCATGTAATGCAAGACTAAACTAAAATCTATTGTGTAAACTAAAATCTGTGTATGCAAGACTAAACTAAAATCTACAATTTGAGCGTTTACATACTTGCTCACTGTTTACCGATTGGGCGTGGCATGATCTAGCCAACCGGGTCAGAGCCAGAGTTGTTAAACTACACGTAGTAATTAATAAACTACATTTAGTACATGTCACAAATAGTTTTTTAAATGTCGAGTAGTAAATGTGTAGTTTATGTAACTAATGTAGTTGTTTTAAATAACAGTGAAAACATAACCTAAAAACTTTGTTTGTTGATCAATTTAAAGAAATAAAAAATCTATATTTTGTGAATTTGTTTCTTATTATGTGATATTTTTGATACTTAGTTAAAAATGCTTGGAACACGTCGATGTCTCCATACCTTGCTCTATACCTTCCGGGAAGAGGGGAATTATGAAGTTGTGCCTTTAGATGTAAAAAATCATATATTCTCCTGGAGAATGTCTATGGAGAATTTCTCCATAAGAATTATATATATAGTTATATATATTATATATAGTTTATTTTGTGTTCAATGTTACTTTGTATTTCGTAGAAAATACACTTTTGTTGAAAAAAAATTGTCTTTTTTGCTGATATTGTTTAACTTATACAAATATAATATAACTTCATACTTCCAAGATAAGAATTTGGCTTGATTTTTGTTTAAAGTCTAAATTGTTTGTGTTTTACTATATTTTTGTAGGTAGTTTTTGAAGGTAGTTTTTAAAATTTTAAAACGTAGTTAATACAAAAAACTACGCGTAGTTTTTGGCGTATTTTTTTGCTTCATAAACTACTTAACAACCCTGGTCAGAGCCCACCGAGCGTAACAATTAAATTTCCGCAACTAGAGGAGTAGGAACAAAGAACTGGAAGGAACTGGGCCGTTGTCTCTGTTCATACTATCTTTACATTTATTAGTTCTGATACTTTCATATGCATCTAATTGCCTGTAATTTGAGACTTGTTTAGTTAATTTTAAGTTATTAAGATCTATTATGATCTTTCAAATTTGATCAGCAATGCAAGATTTATCCGGTCTACCATATCTTATCTGAGCTAAATGTTCTTTAAATCTAGTTAATATTGATCTTCAAGGTGCCCGGTGGCGTAGAGGTACAGCTCTCGTCTACCATTTCAAAGGTTGTGGGTTCGAATCCCACAGCCGGCATTTCATCAGCCGATATTTTTAATGAAATAAAAATAGTTTGGGTACCTAGGTCGACGCAGCCTTAAATGAGTACTTGGGATTCACAATCCTGAGATAATAATAGGCGGTTAAAGCATAATTCTAGCCACATTACCTTGTATACCGAACGGCTCTAGTATGGCAAGCTGTACCTTGCTATAGTCTGTCCAACGACAAAATCCTTGACAGTGATAGATGTGTCTTTCATTTTAATTTCAAAGTAGTTTATTTTATTTTACAAAGAAATAAGTTGGTACAATTGGAACGCATAATTAATATATTTAAATTTTGAGTGACAAGTGATTACTTCACAATATTGTGAAAAAAACTGTATAAAACTGAAAAAATCTAATCTTGGTTAATTAACTTTACTCTTATTTTTTTCTGCAGTACTAACATTTATTATTTACCTATCGTGTGATGTTATTTTACAGATACTCCAGTTTTTGGTACCATATACGAGATGGTATACAACTTTATTTGTGGCTACTACAACTCTCTGGCAAAGTGTGTCTCTGGCGGTCTCTGTACACCGAATATTAACTGTAAACTATGGTCTGGGTCAACACTTAATATTCCCTCGAGTTTTCCTCCAAATAATTTTAAAAAACACGAAACACAAGTAACAACACAGTCGAAAATGCAAAATGCAAAATATTTATCATTTCTATTTGACACAAAATTATAACCTATAATTGGCAAGAGTTTGACAAAGGTTTGACAACTCTCAAAAATCTTAAGTCGAGTTCATACGCACAAGCGTCCGACGTGGCGTCAAACCAATAATATCGAAATATGATCTGTCGTTTTTGAAATAAACCAATAAAACTGGTTAAAAACAACAAGAGACGACGCATGACGTATTTATTTATAAACCCATCCATAGTTAACTTAAAAAATATTAGAAACTTTTTTTAGTGAAATAAATGGATTGGTATGGAAGTCATCTGCTTGTTTTCTGTCATCGTCTGTCGAAATCTTACCTGAGAAAAAAAACAGAGTATACTCCCAAGGCATTAAACGCTATATACGGAAGCTATTATTATTATTATATAGAATAAATATCTTCTAGTTTGCCGAACATATTTCTGATTATAATCTTTACAAGAAATTTCTTGTAAAGATTGTAATCAGCCCTAAGTGATTTTAAAGATTTTATAGAATACTGGAACTCTTATCTAAATTATTATTGGTCTTAATGAGGAACCAGAGTGTAAGTGCCTTATTAAAAATAACAAATCAACATAAACCATGTAGTCTCTTAATATAACGTACTCAGCCACACAGTAAATATTAAAAATACATTTTAAAATTTATTTACCTAAAATTTTGTTAAAGCTATATCACAGCTAGAGGCAGTTCCATTCTCTAAGATTGGTTTCTGATGAATCTTCAAACTTTTTTGTCTCTGTCATTCACTTTATCTCGTTTTGCTTCATCTGGTCAGTCCAAATGTCATCTACAACATTTTTTTTTTCAAATTATGGAAAGTTGCAAATTGCATCTTACATTTAGTTCACTTTCCTATCTGAGAAAATATAGAAATTTCTTATGAGTTAAATAGACTGCTTTAAATTACCATTAAACTGACAATCATATACCTGAATGTTATGTAAATATGAAAACAAAATAGGAAAGTAGATGAAAATTCACAAGCACATATATTTTGCGTCTGAAAGAAGCTAAATCCCTTTAAAACTTACAAAAGTAAAATTAATGATATTATAGGAGTATTTACAAAACACTGGGAATATTAACTGAAGACTTGAAGTAAATAATGTTCTAAGTGAAAAAAAATGTGTTTTCATGTTTTATTTTTAAAATGTCTTAAGTTCCATAACCAACAACACAATATAAAGCGCCACGGCTATTAAATTGTAATGAAAAACATTCTCAGTAGAGACACAGCCCGTTCTTATACATCGGTTATACAGGGTGAGTCTTAAATAAGTGCAAATATTTTCAGGGCTAATAGATCTCGATAAAAGAAACATATTTTGTCTTTACCGTTTTTCAAATAAATTGAAAATAACCCAGATATTTTACTTTGAAAATTTAAAAAAAATATATTTTTTTGCTATAACTTTGGGATCCACTGGATCTTTTCTAGATTTTCTTTCTTGTAAATTTAATCTACTACCTACATATGTTGCCATATTATTAATTATATTTTTTAACTAAATATCCACTAAAAAAATTTCCAAATTTTCAAAAAAATTTTTCGTGAAAAAGATCTCATAATCGTGTTTCTGGGGTCGAATATACTACCCCTAAAAATATTTGCATTTATTTAAGACTCACCTGTATAACTAACAAAGGTTGTTTATTTCGAAATAATGATTTTAGCACTTAGAACATTATTTACTTCAAGCTTTCAACTATAACATACATATTAATCTTACATACGTAAAATTATAATAATATATTATGATTAATCCTGACTTAAATCCTCAAAAAAATTATCCTTTTTTTAATAGTAAAATCATGAAAACCTGACAGGCTCTACTTTTCTTTAAGAAATTGATATTTAAGGGTGCCAAAAAAGGCCACAATATAAAAAATCACAACCAAAACAAAGCAAATACACGAATGAAACATACCTTATTACTGTAAATGTAAAATCTTCATGTAAATTCTTCAGCTAGTTTTTGTTTGTTATTTAGTTTGTCTCTATCTCCATCCTTCCGGTCAATCTGAAAATTAATATTTATCCGAGTCAGCGTCGGCGGTATGGAATGGAATTAATTCATTTACCCGGCCTAAGCAAACTTGCAAATTATAGCAGATGTGCTCTTTGATGCCGTATTAACTTCTTAGCCGCTCCAGTCTACCTTCCTAACTCTTCTCCCTAAAGGGAAGTAAAATTTATTTTGATTTTTCTCGTGCTAGTTATCTGTATAATTTTAAAATTAAAATAATATATCTGTACCTATAGTTATGAGTAGAAATACAGAAGTCTATTTTGAATTAACTTTTTTAATTTGACAAAGAACAACTCAAAAAAAATAACACGTGTATTAGAGCTTTATTATTATATATAAGACAAAAAAGTGAATAAGAAGGGTTAAAAAGTGAATAAGAAGTTCTAAAAAGTGCTATAAGTAGGTATTTTTTTAAGCGGGTGTCACAAAAAAATGAAGTTTTACGGATCTATTAACGTCCCTAAAGCGTATCTTTTATGGTCGCTTTTTTACTTTACAGCCGCTTTTTTACTATACGGCCGCTTTTGCAAACAAAGTCATTATGAGGGCAGCCTACTGGACACATTTAATTTACTTATTTGAGTTATTTTGAAAGTGTTCTACACAAGTTGTTGGTGTTCATACCTTTGGAAAAATCCCATCACTTATTGCACAGTATCTACAAATACTAATGAGTATACGGGTCATTTTTGTAGAAGTTCAGCCTCTCTCTTGGTTGAAACAGGGGCTAATATTTTAATGTTAAAAAGCCACGGATGTTGGAAGTCTAACTCTGTAGCAGAAGGCTACATTGAAGATTCCATTTCAAGAAAGAAGGAAATTTCAAACAGAATTCTTGCAGGATGAGAAGATACTTTAGGTATACGTTTTTCTGATCAAAATAATTCCAAAGAAATTCAATTAAATGGTACTTCAGTCAGCAGCTTTCCAACAAGTACCATTGTTACTGAAAATCAAGAAAATGAAATGTTTGTTAACAATGTCATGTCTAAAAGTGGTATTAATTTTTCAAAATGTAATAAATTTACATTTAACATAACAATTAATAACAAATAATAACAACTTCTGTTTATAATACTGTAAGTAATTCTGTACACATCTTTGTTACTTTTTATAATAATACACTTTTCATTTGGTTAATAAAAATTTGAATCTATTCTTGCAGTTTCGTCTTTATTTAGAAACAAAATTGTAAAAAAATGTTACATACTTCAGAAGACACTTGCTTAAAAAAATTAGTGTGCAGCCTCGTTCAATTTTATTTACAACTCTTTGAACTTTCTTCTTATATGTGTATGTCCGAATGCATTTTGTACTCTTTATTGTAAATGTTGAGATGTATTGATTTCGCTTTTACAAATGACGTGAAGTAAAATGTATTCATTTGTATATTATTTTTTAATATTTTATTGCATTTGATTTTCCATATTCAATGTTTTACCCCACGTCATTGTTAAGTTTGAAAGCTTATCAATATTGTAACGATGAATATATTAAATATTTAAAAAAAAACAGATCAAAACAACTTCAAATTAGTTTAAATAAATTGTGTTCAAATGTCCGAAACAAAAAAAATATTAAGTGTAGCATATCATTGCACTCAGGAGACCGAGTTCTTTCAAAATCTGAAATAAAAAATGCAGGTCCGTATTTAAAAAAAACTAAGTTGGCCTCTGTATCTCACAAACTATCACTTAATTTGAAAAACTAAAAATACTATCAGATAGCCCTTATAAAGCGGCTATGAGAATGTGCAATTAGTTCTTTGATTTTCTTAAAACTAACGACAGGAAAAAATAAAATTGATTTTCAAGAAAATCCGTTTTTTCCAAAAAACTCAGCAATCCTTGAAATTTTTAAAACTTTTTTGATGGCATCTTGGTGAACATCCCAAAGCGCAACTTTGCCCCAATTAAACTATGTTCGTATCTATTACGGTTACCGAGATACCAATGCTCGTACCTCGAATTTGAAGCACCCTGAATAAATATTGAGTGCTCTATCTCAAACCTAGATATTTAAAACTCATCCAGCCTGACAGGCGCTACTCCTATTTAAGTAATCGGCTTTTGGGCGCCACCATAAATGTTTATTTTACAAAGAACAAAACAATACACCAATATAGAAGAGACCTTGTTTTAGCTTGCCTACTTTGACCTTATTACTATTCTAACATAACAATTTGATTTCCATATTTCTGAAAACAAATTCATGTAAATTCTCTGACCTGCTTTTGCCTGCCATTCGGTTTGTCTCTTTCTCCATCCCTCTGGTCAACCCAAAAATTAATATTTATATCTATCAGCGTCGTGGTATCTAGACGGAATTAATTCATTTTCGCGGCCTAAGCAAACTTGCAAATTACAGACGATCTTCTCTTTGATATCGAATTAACTTCTTAGAGGTCCAAGTCGTCTACCTTCCGCTAACTCTTCTCCCTAAGGGGAAGTAAGATTTATTTTGATTATTCTCGTGATAGTTATCTGTACAATTTCGATACTATACAAAAAAATATCTATTAATAAAATATAATAAATATCTATTATTTAATAAATATCTTTTATTTTATTTTTTTTAAATATCTATTATTTAATTGTCTATCAAATTGAAATGTACCATTTTTTACCTATGTCTTCAAGTTTTCGTAGAAAATCTGTTTTCTTATAAATTAAACCTCATTTATCATTATACCCATGGAATATTGAAGACATTTTAGATTTTTTTGAAGCTATTGCTTTAAAAAAATGTACAAAATGTACAGATGGTAAAAATAATAATATTGTAATCCCTTTGGTTACCTCCCCCCTACTGTGGAGCTTGGTAGTGGATGAACTACTGGAAGAATTAACTCTAGCGGGAATACACTGCATAGGGTATGCAGATGACATAGTCACCATTGCACAGGGGAAACATGAAGGCACCCTGTGTGATATTATCCAAAGAGGACTCCGCATCGCTGAGAGATGGTGCAGGACTGTCGGGCTGAGTATTAACTCAGATAAAACCGCAGTAGTGCCATTCACCAGAAAGCGAAGTTTGAAAAACTTGAAAAGAATCCATCTAGATGGAAAGGAAATACTGCCATCACAGGAAGTGAAATATCTGGGAATAACCCTGGATAGTAAACTTCTTTGGAACAGTCATATTAAGAACATTACCAGCAAAGCCCCCAAGGCTCTCATAATATGCAGAAGACTGGCGGGAAATAGGTAGGGCTGCGCCCCTAACATTTTGCGCTGGATGTATACCATGATAGTAAGACCCATATGATTACTTATGGAGCAGTTGCTTGGTATACAAAACTAGAGCAACATACAGCAAGGCAAAACCTGTGCAAAGTACAGAGACTGGCATGTATCTGCATCACGGGTGCCATGAGAACATGTCCAACAGCAGCAATGGAGCTCATTCTAGACCTAACACCACTGCACATTGTCGTCGGTAGTGATGCCAATGCGACAATGATTAGAATGGTCATTGACGGAAACAGTACTGGGAGAATTTTCAGGTCAGGGGCTTGGAACACCCTCAAAAAGAAACTTCCACTTCTCCAACACCCAGTGGATGACATACCAAGAATTTACAACTTTGAGAAACACCTCACTATTGAGTAATAAAAAGGATTGGAAGAAAGAAACGCTTACTCAGCATATAAAAGTCCATACCATCACGTGGTATATTGATGCTTCCAAAACCAAAGCAGGGACAGGGATAGGAGTATTTGGGCCGAAAACTAAATACTCCGAACCAATGGGCACCTACCCCAGTATCCTTCAGGCAGAAATTTGCGCTATCGAAAGATGCGAACAATTTATCTTAGATAGGAACTATCGAAAACAGGAAATTGCCATCCTATCAAGCAGCACTTAACGCGATCAACTCAGTAACCATCAATTCGAAGTTGGTCAAAGAATGCCTAGAGAAGCTCAACAAATTAGGTAAAGAAAATAAAGTCCTCCTACTCTGGGTGCCTGCTCACCAAGGGATAGAAGGCAATGAAAAAGCAAATGATCTAGCTAGAAAAGGAGCGAACACTCCACTAACAGGTCCAGAACCGTTCTGTTTTCCAAACGGGAACCAACTGAAAGCGGAACTGAAGAATCTGGAAGACTCCATCCGTAACTTGGAATGGGTGTCCTCCAACGGTCAACGGTCTAAGACACTCGAAAAAGTTCCACAGAACTTATGACCGAGAAAAATCAAAGGTTTTCCTAATTAAATAATGAAGAAACATTTACTTTACTAATAACATTTTTTTGTCACAAAACTCACAAACCAAAGCAACATTAGTGCGTCTCGAATTGTAATCAGCTATTATCTAACACCTACCACCTCTGTTCGTTGTCTGATTTCCCTCTCCCTAGTTTGTGAATAATATTTTAAAAATCAATAATTTTATTTATATATAGAGTGTCTTAAAAATTAATCTTTGGGATTTAAAGAAATGAGGTTATTTTTTAAAAATAGGCGGTTCATCTCACAGTATATGGAATGACTATGGCAAGTCTAAATATTACATTAAGCTTATGATAAACAAAGAAAAATTCAAGACAATCCGTCATTTATTCTAATGCATGACGAATTTGTTCACAACTAAGATTCTAGCCTAACAGAAAAAAACCATCTTTAATAAATTAAGTTTTGAGGGTGAGAAGAAGAATTTTTGACATGGCTTTCGATTTGACCCGTATTACTATACCAGTGGAACAATTCGATATTAACTGGTGTTTAGTTTGATACCGAATTAAATCCTTAGCCATTCCACTTTACTCCTACCTAGACCTTTTCCCCCGAGGAATGTAGACTATGTTCCGATTGTTCTCGGGTGGGTTAACCGTATAATATGGTAACTGAAGTGGAACATAATTCTGTAACAATTTCGATTTGAAATCAGTATATCTGTACAAGAATGTTTCGTATCATAAAATGAAGCATTTAAAATCTGTTCAAAGTTATAAAAGCAGATGTTTAAATTTAAAACTAAAATAATTATTTAGTAGTTGACAAAATTCAAGTATATATACAGGGTGTTCCAGGCTGAGCCAGACTGAGCCTGGGTTAGAAGTTTCTAGAGAACTACAATATCTAGATACGAGATTTTGTGCATATCATTGTTTCACAATGAGATCTATCGATTAAAAATATTTTCAATATGGCGGCACTTTTGGAAGTACCGGAAGTTGACAGCAACTTTCTTATTTTAAAGGGGTGACCCCATTTTTTATTACATAATTAAATTCTCTGTAAAATTTTATGAATTTTGATATTAAATACTCTATACCTAACGATAACCGTTTTTGAGAAAAAAAATATTTAAAATTTTTGGCAGATAAAAATTGCCTGTCAAAAATATGTATATAGCCTAAACGTCAAATTTAGTCATTGCCACAGCCACTGTACAATAAAGAGAAGACATGTGGCTATCTATATCAAAAATTAAATTGTTCGAATGTCATATAATAATGGCCGCAGCTGTCATGGAATTGAGCGATTAAAAAATTATCATAAATCATTTTTTTTTCAAATGGAAATCCACTTTTTTTATTTCACTAGTGAAAAGGCTTTCGTTACTTTCGTTTTTAAAATTTGTTACTTTTTGACTCTACATTCTACATGTTCCTGTACCTAAAATAAATCGTTTTTAAGTTATTTAAGATTTAGCTTTAAAGCGTATATTTTTTTTGATTTTAGCCAATAGCCTATGACAGTATATTATCGATCATCATTTCCAAGCTAACTTTGCGCTGTTTTTTTTTTTCGATCGTACGGTATATTATTAAACTATCAACTATTAGATATCACTAAAGAACGAAAATACGGAGATATATTTATATAAATACACTTTTTAAACTTTTAAGGCAGGTTTAGGCACTTTTATAATATAGGAAATTCAAATAATTAATTTTCTGACAGATGGAAATAAATTGTCTGACTGTTTGACACTTAATGTCAAAGGAAGCTAGATAAAATCAAGAAAAATATACGTTTTCAAATTAAATCTTAAATGACTTAAAAACGATTTATTTTAGGTATAGGAATATGTTTAGTTAAAACGTAACGAGTTGGAAAACCTTTTCACTAGTGAAATAAAAAAAGTGGGTTTCCATTTGAAAAAAAAAATATTTATGATAATTTTTTAATCGCTCAATTCCATGACAGCTACCGCCATTATTATATGACATTTGAACAATTTAATTTTTGAAATAAATAGCCTCATGTCTTTTCTTTATGTCACAGGGGCTGTGATAATCACTAAATTTGACTTTTAGGCTGTACAAATTTTTTTGTCAGGTAGTTTTCTCGTCCAAAAATTTTATATATTTTTTTCTTAAAAAAATTTTTTTGTTACAGTCCAGTTTTTTTGTTAAGACCGTTAAAAAAATACCCCACTAACTTTTATTCGATTTTTTTTTCTCTATATTCTAAATATACCTTCTTTTAAATATAACAATCATGCCAACTTTTAGTCACTTCAGCTTCATTAAGCTTGACTACAGCGTTGCCCACTTTTACATATTTTCTTTTAATCAAAATATTTTCAGAAACAAAAATAAATTAATTATAAATATACAGGGTTGTTCACCACATACAACACGGAGTATTGTAGCTAAACGATGAGATCTTTACAAATTGTAAGTTTTGGGTTCGATGAAGGACTATTAGAGGTACAATTTAAAAATAATTTTACAAGATACAGAGTGTCCCAAATAAGTAAAAAATATCAAAGTTGTATTTTTTTAAATAGAACACCCTGTATATTATTACATTTTTAGTTTCTACGATTAAAATAAAGGTAAATTTGATTACGATTTATTATACTTAAACCTTACCGTTTTTGAAATATTTTCAATTTTGTGAAATTGCAGTAAAAATTTTAAGGCTTCATTTCTCCAAGGGTATCAAAGTTTTTTAATACTAAATATTTACTGTAGTTTATTTACTGATCAGTTATTGTGTTGCAATAATAAAATAATACTACCTTATACAGAGTGTCTAAAAATTTATTTTAAATAATTATTAGCTTCAAACGGCAATAACTTGTTTAATTTAAATGGAACACCCTGTATATTTTACGAGAATCAGATGCACAATTTAATTGTCTATCAAATTATATTATACCATTTTTTACCTATCTCTTTAAGTTTCCGTAGAAAATTTATTTTCTTGTAATTTAGAACTTATTTATCAATATATCCATGGACTATTGACATTTTAGATTATTTTTAAAGATGTATCAAATTTTTAAAGAGTACAGATACTAATATTGTCGATATAATTCGTTTATTTCATTAAAAAATAAAAAAAAACTGTTTAAATATTTGTTAAAGAGAACCAATTAATATGATTCCAGTATTCAAACTACATTAACTGACTGTCTGCGTTGATTAATAATAATTGCTCCAAATACTAAAAAACTGAATTTTGTATGGGCATTAGACAGTGTGATAAAAAGTAACACCTTAAAAATGATATTTCATTTTTTAATAAATGCTTATTATATTATAACAACAGAGACTTTAATTTGATAACTTATTATTATATTGATTTCTGACTCAAATCCACATTTATTTATAATAATTTATTAACGAACACAATTAAGTATGTAATTAATTAGTATATGGGCGGAAATAATGGTGTTATATTTAATTAATGGTATACTCTTTCATAAAGATTTAAATAGTTTTCTTTTTGCATACAAATGGGCTAGTAATATTAACGTTTTGCTAAAAACGATAATATTACTAGTCTGTACATTTTGTACATTTGTTGCTTTAAAAACAATCTAAAATGTCAATATTCCATGGATATATATAAATGAAGTCTAAATTATAAGAAAATGCATTTTCTACGAAAACTTGAAGGGATAGGTAAAAAATGGTATAATACAATTTGATAGACAATTTAATTGTGCATCTGATTCTCCTAAAATATACAGGGCATTCCATTTAAATTAAAGAGTTATTGCCGTTTAGAAGCTAATAATTATTTAAAATAAATTTTTTAGACACTCTGTATAAGGTAGTATTATTTTTATTATTGCAACACAATAACTGATCAATAAATAAACTTCATTAAATATTTAGTATTAAAAACATTGATACCCTTTGAGAAATGAAGCTTTAAAATTTTTACTGCAATTTCACAAAAATTGAAAATATTTCAAAATGATAAGGTTTAAGTATAATAAACCTTAATCAAATTTACCTTTATTTTAATCGTAGAAACTAAAAATGTAATAATATACAGGGTGTTCCATTTAAAAAAATACAACTTTGATATTTTTTATTTATTTGGGACACTCTGTATCTTGTAAAAATATTTTTAAATTGTAGCTCTAATAGTCCTTCAACGAACCCCAAACTTACAATTTGTAAAAATCTCATCGTTTAGCTATAATACTCCGTGTCGTATGTGGTGAACAACCCTGTATAAACAGTTATTATTTACATCAACAAAACTCACCTCCTTAACAGCACTTAAGAGACATAACGAGCCATTACTACCGCTTTTCCGTTCAAAATATTCTAATAAGGTTGCTATGAGTTTTTTGCAACGGCTATTAAATTAATCTAGCTATCTTGTACACTTCGAACTTAAAGAGGTTCTCAAATTAAATAATCTATATTCCACTGCAAGGTCTGCTAGTAAAAATGTTTAAGCTTAAACTTATGGCTTAAACTATGACAACTATTTTATTTTAAGTCTATGATGACAACACAATTCATTTAAACAAAAAAACTCGCAATACAAAACTAACTTGTCAAAATGAGTGACAATGTCAGGAAATAAATAAATAAATGTGGCAACTTGACATTTTTTATAGCAGAGCTACCACCTGAATCCCCAGCGGAAAATTTAAATTTCATAGTCAGCCCGGCGCCGAATATGACCGTGTTTGGCAGCAATGAATTTAAAAATCGCTCCCTCGTTTACGTAACTAAAAGTTTAATTATTGATACTGCTTATACATATTATGTTAGTTCCAGGGATGATACCCTGTATAGATAAAGAATATTTGCAACTAACTTTCCTTATCCTAGAGTTTTATTTTATCGCCATCTGATACACATACTACTAAAACTGATATTCAAATTACAATTTTCAATCTCGAAAATTCTAAATAGGTATGTATTTTTCGAGAAAATTGAAAAAACTTTGAAATATATTCCTACAAACTTTTGCTTACAGTTTGCGTCTTTATCGAATAAAGTTAAGATCTCTTCGGGAAAACTTTCTTAAATATCTTGCGGCTAAAATCTCGGTCTTTATCGAAAAATGTGGTGAAAAATATTTTTGCGGAAAAAGAATTAACATGATAAAGTAGTTGCACTGTTTTTCCATCCCAATAGAGTAAATTACATGTGGAAAAATGTGACCATAATATGATCGAAAAAAAAAGGCGTTAAAAAATACTGGGGAATGACCAAAAAGTCAGTCATTTACCAAAAACTGACATAAAACCTGTGATAAAACTAAAGCATATTTTTTACTCCATATAAAAATAAAAATGACCTCGCTCCTTAAGGAATTTGTTAAAAAATGTATATGTATAATTTATAACAATAGTTTAATTAATATTTTTAAATTTGGTACAATATTTATGATAAAACTTTGCTTTACCTGTTTCACTAGGGAGCCGCTACTGTTGCAGGTAATATTTGTTTTTAATAAAGTTCAATGGCGCCAATACCTTGCATCTGCGGCATTAATGTTCACAGTTCCCCCAAAAAAAAACTTAAAGAAGGACACTAACAGAAAGTGATAAACATATTTGGGCAACAGTACAAACGCAGGCGCCTGGAGTTATTATTTAAACAGTAATTGTAAAAATAATTTCGAATTATTTTCTGGAAATTATATCTATTCTACCTACTATAATTTTCTATAAATAATAATTTCTAATAATTTCTGTATTATTTTACCTGCTTATAACTGCTTATAAAATGACAGCGATCTTCATTTCATACAATTTCATAGCAATAGCAAAGGCAATAGATAGTTATTTTCTTTTATCTATGTTTCATAGCCATCGCCATGCCATCGCTGACCAAATCGCTGACGCCGTTTTTTTTTCATGTCGCATAAATTTACAGTATATAGTTTACAAGAGTTTACAGTAAACATTATTAGATTAGGCAACTTATAAAATAGGTGTGTATTGCGGGTTACCTGATTAATTTTCTAATCCTTAACATTTTATCTAACTAAGGATGGTCACAGTAAAAACAAGTCGATAATTTTTCAGTCAAATTAGGATTGATCCATTTAGTATTTATTTATTTGTTTTTTGCAAGTTATGGTGCAATAGGATAAAAAATATGAAACATATGAAAATAGCATATTGTTTTATTAGGAGTGAAAATGACACTTTCTGTGGCGAGGCTGGACGAGCGCTAGCAACTCCGACATACAGGCCATACAGCGGTGGCAAAAAAGTCATTTTTACTCCGAATAGAACATTCTATTTCTGTTTAACAGTTTCAAACGGTCCAAATAATATAAAAAAGATTTAAAAATCATTCTTTGTATGTAATTATATATCGAAAAACAATGGTTACGCTCGTTGAACTTCCCACTTTATGTCAGTTTAATAATTTATTTTCGTACTTTTATGCTTAGGCTTAAAAGTGCTCTACTTTTATGCCTAGGCGTTAAAATAACTTTTTTATATTGTTAATCGTCGCAAAAATGAATACTTTTGTGACGTTTGAAAAAAATATACATTTTTCTTTCACCAAACCAAACCAAACCAAACTCGGGAGATACAACGATCCATTCATAAAACGCTCTAAAACTTCATCACACATTGGTTTGCGAAAATCAACGAGTGCGAAAGAGAATAGACAAAGAAAAATATTAAATATCTTTGGCTGTAGGTGATTTTCAGTAGCTTGGAAAATTCTAGCTACAGGAAAATTGTATTTGATGTCCGTATATCATAATCTTTTATGTTTAATTATACAAAACCAATTGTAATACAAATACACAAAATAGAATAAATTACATATTAGCATAGTAATATCTGTGGTAATATGAAAGATAACATTAAAATATTAGGAAATATTACAGATAACATAGTGATTTAAAAACATAGCAATTTACAATAATAAATAATAATTAACATAGTAATTTACGCAAATTACTATGTTATCTGTGATTTGGAAAAATATGTTTCATTCTAGATTCTAGATGTTAATCGATAATTAGTAAGCATCGATGTAGTTTTACTTTACTAGTCGACAGCGCGCCATCTATACTTCATTTACTTGTCATCGTCGCCATTTTGCTTTTATTCGTGATCTGTCAAAACCTGAAGTTCAATATTTGTTGCTATAGTGTGTTTACGTTTTACGATCCTGTAAAATAAAATAGGAATTGTTTTGTGAAAAGTAAGAAATACAAAATGAATGAAGAGCGCTTGCACATTGTAAGTATTTAGTTTTACTTCCCTATATTGTTTTAATCTTGTTTAATAAATGATTTTCCGAAATCAATAAAAGAATGGAAGGCAACAATTTTACACTTTATTCAAATAAAATCGAGATTATCATAACTAATACCTATTTATTATTATATTTTATTGCATATGTTTACTTATTTCAGGACTGGGGTAATGATAAACTCTATAGAACACAAAAACAAGTTGAGAAAAATCCTTACGACTTGGAAGCATGGTCAATCCTGTTGAGAGAGGCACAAATAAAACACATTTCTGAAGTTCGAGCACTTTATGAACATCTAATCACTATTTTTCCCAGTGCTTCTAGATACTGGAAAATTTATATAGAACATGAGGTATGGCTATATTATGCTTTAATCGTAAATAGACAAAAATTTAAAAAACTACATACCTAACTATTATCATTTCTCTCTTTCCAGATAAAATCTAGAAATTTTGAGAGGGTCGAGAAGGTAACAAAATTTAAATATTTAATTTCTTTTTTAATATTTAGAATATTTTTTGAAGATAATAAACTAAAGTATTTTTTTATAAATGGATTTTATTCGGATATACTTCTAAACTGTGTTTCAAACTGGGAGGAATTATTTTTGGTCATGTTAAATGTTTTATTTTCTTTCTTATTATTAATTAATATTTTTATTTCAATCAGAGTGTAGCTGTATTTACTGTCTAAATAATGTGATTAAAAGTATTCTTTCTGGTTTAGATCCCTATATTGTTTTAAATTGAATCATTCTTGCTAATCATTTGTTAATGAAATTAAGAGTACTTTTGTCTTTTTAAATCCTTAAGACCTACTACAATCCTTAGTTTCCCTAATATACTAAAATATTTGAAATAAACACTGTGCAATGTAGATGTGTTTTATTATGCGCCAGTACTCTTTTCTCATTAACCAATGCTTTAAAACTGATTATAATGTTTTGAGTAAAGTAATTGTATTAAGTCGCTACATAGATCAATATTTGTTTAACAGCTTTTTCAAAGATGTTTAATGAAGATATTAAATATAGAATTGTGGAAATTATATCTAACTTATGTTAAAGAAACGAAAGCTTCTTTGCCAACCTACAAGTAAGTTGCATAAAAAGTATTAGAATAATTTACTAACACTTTAATTTCTAGAGAAAAAATGGCTCAAGCATATGATTTTGCTTTAGATAAAATAGGAATGGATATTCATTCCTATGCTATATGGAATGATTATGTTAATTTTCTAAAAGGTGTGGAAGCTGTAGGCTCATATGCAGAAAATCAAAAAATATCTGCTGTTCGGAAAGTGTATCAAAGGGGTATAATTAATCCAATGACTGGAATGGAAACATTTTGGAAGGATTATATAGCTTTTGAACAGGTAATTATTTATGTTTTATTCATACACAGATATGATTCTATATATTGTAGGGTATAAATCCAATAATTGCTGAAAAAATGAGCATAGAAAGAAGTAGAGATTATATGAATGCTCGAAGAGTAGCTAAAGAGCTTGAAGTTCAAATCAGGGGCATTAATAGAAATGCTCCCAGCATTCCACCTTGTGGTACTCCTGAAGAAAGGAAACAAGTAAGCATGGATGCCAAGTTTTTTAAACAATTTATATGTAAAAAACAAACGTCAATGCATTTTTTTTAATTTAAAATTGTTTTAAATATATTTTCTTATAGTCAAAGTTTCACTGTAATCAAATAATATCATTAATTTTTCTCTTACCTTTACTATCTAAATTAGCAAATATAATATTTTTATATGCATGTACCACTAGCGTGTACTAAAAAATATACTACTATATGATTAAAAAAAACGGTGGCGGCGATGGCTATGAACTGAATATCGATGTTATTTTATATGTAAAATTATATGGGGAATGTCATCGATGTTTATTTTCAAGCCAACTGGACGCCGTTTTTTTCGATCATAGGGTATTAATTACTATGCTATAAAATATTTAAGTTCATATGGCCTTGAAGCTACTGAAAAATATTCTTTAGGTTTGGGACTTAACTGTTTCTCCTTTATTATTAAACTATAAACATATTTAACAACTTATTCCCTGCAGAGTTTATATGTTGGAGGCAGATACCGAATTCGGCCTATGTCCGAAATAATTAGACATATGGCGATTATAATTAAATATACCTACCTATATCCACAAAATTACGCGGAAGAGTTTTGATTGCATTGGTTTCAACTTCTATGTGGGGGTTGTTGTTATATTATACCAAAAAAAGATTAACCCCCTCTGCAAAGAAGTTATATAAAGACTATTATTTATAACCACGAAGTTGCACGCATCTGGCAAGTTTAGTACGGACAAATCGCCATATGTCTAATTATTTCGGACATAGGCCGAATTCGGTATCTGCCTCCAACATATACATTTTGTAGGGACCAGTCAGATCTACTATAATATTGCAATATCCTAAAATTAAGAAATTGGCTCTTATCAAGTTTCTCCCCTGGACCGTTCATGTTATTTCCTTCGCCTTTTTGTCATGAAAACCCTCTTCATAACAAAATTTTCTAAAATTTATAGGAATTATTTTATTATATGATCATAATATTAAATCAATGATTTATTGTTCCAAAATTCCTCTTGCTAACAACATTATTACATATTTCAAAATGACTGTAAATATTTATGTTCACACTCTTAGATTTTCATATTAATTTTACGTAACAATTTTGTTTTAACATAGCTAAACTCTCAATATTTAATTTTTCTACTGAATTTTCGTGAAATGTGGATAACAGTGGATACATTTCTATAACAAATAATGAATTAATTTTGTGCTACTTAAAATTTTAATGTATTGTTTAATATTATTTTTTCATAGGTTGAATTGTGGCAAAAATACATAGCATGGGAAAAAAGTAACCCTCTGCGTACAGAAGACACTGCTTTACATACAAAAAGAGTTATTTTTGCACTGGAACAATGTTTGCTTTGTTTAGGACACCATCCGGATATATGGTATCAAGCTGCCCAGTTTTTAGAACATAGCAGTAAAATTTTAACCGAAAAGGGGGTAAAACGACTTATATAATATAAAATTACTATTTTTTGAACAATATAATATGTTTTCAGGACGTAAATGCTTCAAAACACTTCAGTGAAGAAGCTGCTAATGTATTTGAGAGAGCTACCAGTACTCTATTAAACAAAAACATGCTTCTCTATTTTGCGTATGCCGACTACGAAGAGGGACGTTTAAAATATGAAAAAGTGCATCAGATTTATACTAAATATTTAGAGATTGAGGATATTGATCCCACTCTTGTATGTATGATAGTAATTTAATAGAAAAATCATTTATTTTTAATTATTTAGGCTTATATACAATACATGAAGTTTGCAAGAAGGGCAGAAGGTATCAAGTCTGCTAGAGGAGTATTTAAGAGAGCTAGAGAAGACCAGAGGGCAAAATATCATATGTTTGTTTGTGCTGCTCTTATGGAATATTATTGCTCAAAAGATAAAAATATAGCTTTTAGGTAAATATATTTTGCAGGAAATTAAAAAAAATTGTTCTAGAATATTTACTTAGTGGTAGGGATGTTCGGTCCTAAGATTTCAGTACCAGTATCCGGTACCACGAAATACCGGTCCTACAACCGGTATACCGGTCCCACCAATTAGATCGGTTGAACCGGTATACCGGTTGGACCGGAAAACCGGATGGACCGAAAAATCGGTTTGACCAGATGAACTGGAATATCGGAAAGACCGAAATAACAGTTTTGGTCGTTGTGCCGGTGAGGATAGGCGAGGTGACCTCAGGATAACATATTAAAAAATGTAAATAGAAAGTTCTCGTGCCTGTAACGTTAAGTAAATACGATAACGTAATAAATACGGTATTTATTACGTTTGAGGGATAAATTAAATTTCTCGGAATATATCCTAAATCTATCCTTTACCGTTATAATGTTATTGATATAACTTAGGATTCTCATTGTTTATGTTCATATTTCCGGCATATTCTGGATTTCTTGTCCAACATTCTCTTTACTTATGAAAAATGAAAAAAGTACTGGAAGCTGCTATTCTTGGAGATATAAATGGAGCGGAAATAAGATGCTATTTTACATATATTAAATAATAGAGTAGACGCTATTGAATATCGGAGTTTTACGGACATTTTAATTTATATAATATACATGAGTGATCAATGAGTAAGATGCTTTACTGGAATTTTAGATATACAAAAAAAAAGACTAGATTACTAGACTACAAATGCCTTAAACATACATCAAAATAAACTACATTGCATGTTCCTGAATGGTCGAAAAAAAACGGCGTTTGGTTGTCTTGGAAATGAATATCGATTACATTCCCCATATAATTTTACATATAAAATGACAGCAATCTTCATTTCATAGCCATCGCTGACCCAGTTTTTTTTCGATCATACGGTACTTAGAGTAGAACACAATCAGCTTTGCACAAAAACCAGTACTGAAATCTTTTATACAGGTTTTATGATTTTCATATTTTCATGAATCTATTTTTCTATACCGATTGAAACTGGTCTTCCGGTATCGATTGAAACCGGTCTTTTGGGACCAATTTAAACCGGTCTTCCGGTCCTGGTACCCGGAATACCGGAAGACCGAACATGCCTACTTACTGGTATCTTTTTGTAAAATAATTAATTAGTTATTAAACATGAAATATCTCGTTTTTAGAATTTTTGAGTTAGGTTTGAAAAAGTTTGGAGATGTTCCTGAATACATTACCTGTTATATTGACTATTTGTCCCACTTAAATGAAGATAACAACACTAGAGTATTGTTTGAGAGAGTTTTATCTTCTGGGAGTCTTGAAAATGAAAAATCTGTGTAAGCATTTAATAATAATTTATTCTTTTAAATTTTATGATACACAATTATAACTAAAACATTACTTACGTTACGTTTTTCAGCGATATTTGGAATAGGTTTTTGGAATTTGAATGCAATATTGGAGATTTACAGTCTATAGTAAAAGTGGAGAGGCGAAGAGCGGAAGTGTTATCAAAAATTAAAGAATTTGAAGGAAAAGAAACAGCACAATTAGTAGACAGATACAGATTTTTGGATTTGTTTCCTTGTACTCCACAAGAATTGAAAAGTATAGGGTAATATTTTTTCTGTTTCATTAAAATTATACCTACTAACATTTTGTTGTAATTTTTATTATACAGTGTATGCCGTAAGTAAGTTCATATTAAATGGAAAAAGCTGTACTTCCATTATCTAAAAGTAAAAAATCTGACATTCTAGACAAAAAAAATGTTGGGTTTAATTTTTTTATCATAGGAAAAAGTTTTTACATATCAACGGTAGTGTAGTGAATTCTGGACAACTTTTCTCTTTAAAACATTTCAATATCTTTTCAGCTAACCCAACATATTTCATAGTCTGTTTATTCAAAGCTTAAAGAGCATTCTATGAATTTTCACCATAAGAGCTGACAAGAGTCAGAATATTACATGGTATAATATGTATATCAAATATGTACTGATTATTTTCGTTTCTTTCAATAACTCATTTAATCTTTCATCTTAATTATTTGTAAGCTTTTGGCGCACACTGTATTTATCAGAGGCAGTAATGGGGTAAATTATTGTTCCCAGCTATGATTTGATTTATGTAAAATTTATTTGTTTTGTTATACACTCAGATGCAAAAAAAAAACGCTATGGGCAAAATTTTGGCCAAATTTAAAGCGTTATATTTTTGTTAATTTTAGCCCTATTTTCATGAATTTATTAACAAACTGTATATAATTATACCAACTTTAATTGGTAAACTCAGTTTTTTATAAACTTTAGTATTTGGCATATTATACAGGGTTAATCGAGGGGTTGTTTTTTTACTCTAACTTTGACACACCCTGTACAATAATTTCATGTGTAAATTTCCCTAAAATATAATTTTACGGTCAGAACCATGGCTACTGAGCATTTTGTTTTTTGGATCATGTCAATACATGCCTTGGTTAATTTTTAAGAGCGAAATGAACTTGCCACCAACAATTTGCAATTTTTTCAATTATGATTTTTTTTGATTTTTTTTTCAATATGACAAGGCAGCTTTGGTGATTATTGTGAACTATATACTACTATGAACTGCCCATTATGCTCGACGTTTGGGAAATGCTTGGCAGAAGGGTTAGAAGTCGCGAAACGGTACCAGCTTCATTAAATGAACTTCGCTTGGTTCTTAAAGAAAAGTGGAAAAGCATAACGCAATATGATATATGCCTCAATGACAGTATGAATGGACGTATACAGGCAGTTATAACCATAGCAGCCAGGGGAGGCAATACAAAGTATTAGGGTAATTTTTCTCTTAAAAATTAACCAAGGCATGTATTGACATGATCCAAAAAACAAAATACTCAGGAGACATGGTTCTTACCGTAAAATTATATTTTAGCAAAATTTACACACGAAATTATTGCACAGGGTGTTTTACAGTTAGGATAAAAAAAAACAACCCCTCGATTAACCCTGTATAATATGTCAATTACTAAGGTTTATAAAAAACTGAGTTTACAAACTAAGGTTGATATAATTTTATACAATTTGCTAAAAAATTCATGAAAATAGGGCTAATAATAACAAAACTATAACACTTTAAATTTGACGAAAAATTTCTCCGTTGCGTTTTTTTGCATCTGGGTGTATATTGTTTTGTTCTATTGTTCTATTATTTGTAGGTATACTGAAGTAATAAACGTTACTGGTGCTGGCAAAAATCATATCCTTCAATCCATAATGAACCAGGATTCTGAGATGCCTCTGCCCACCCCTGACTACTCTCAGATGATCCCATATAAACCAAAGAGCAATCCATTGCCTGGTGAACATCCAGTACCAGGTAAATGTTTTAATAGTTTAGAGAAATAAAATACTAAATATGCATTTTATATACTTGTTTTAGGAGGAACATTTCCTATGCCCCCCACTGCAGCACATTTATGCACATTATTACCCCCACCTCACTGCTTTAGAGGTCCATTCGTTCATATTGATATAATGATGGATATATTTAATAGAATTCATTTACCGGAAAAAGGTTTGTATACAATATCCATTTTTACTGTGGCAAAAAAAGAGTAAGACAACTCTGGCGCTAGATATGTGAAAGTTTTTTTTCGTTCTATTGAGTTTCATTATTTTTTCTCGCGTTATTTAGTTATTTCCTATATCGTGTTTACTAACGCTTTCGTTCAAGCCAAAAATAACTAGATAGTGAATAAAAATATATGTTCCATGGTAGAGTGCATTAAGTCTCTGTTAAAAATATTTAATTTTTAAAATATATCAATATTTTGGAATTTAGTCTATTTTAAACCTTATTTAAACCATTTCAAAGGTTGTGGGTTCGGATCCCACAGCCGGCATTTCATCGGCCGACTATTTTTAATAAAATAAAAATAGCTTGGGTACCTAGGTCGACTCAGCCTTAAATGAGTACTTAGGATGTACAGTGGCGTGCAGTACCATTTACAGTAGGGTAGGCAACAGAATAAAAAATATGAAAAAAAACTAAAAAAACGTATGTATTACATAATATATATATGTACAATGTACGTATATAAAATTTACTGTCTAACGTATTTTAACTTTAAACTCAAACTAAAGAAAATTCAAATAACAGCAAATAAATTTAATTATTGTATATTGATGTAAAACGAATAATCTGTCTATTATTCAATCATTATTTCTTCCCGATAGGCGACTCAACGACTGGCGAATTAGCTAAAACAATAACCGTACACAATATTGTCAGATTGCCAATTGCCACTGCCTAATAGATTTTATGTACCAAAATGATTTTACAGTCAAATAAAATAATAAATGAAATCATTTGGAAACAAATACAGATGACAGACAAGCAAATTTCTAATTTGCTACATAATACAAATCTTTCTAAAACAGTTATTTAAAATTGATCATATAAAATAACATGGACTGTTTCTTACATAGTTCTGTGATAACATCGGAACTGACAGTACCGCATCGGCGGGATCGAGACATCGGGTGCATCCGTGCTGCGGTAACGCACTGCTTTTGCTTGTCCATATCCATGTAATGTTAAGTTGCGGCCGTGCGTTCGATTTCGAATAATGGGATGCGTTTTTTAGGTAATAATAAGACGTTGAACAGGTGGCGTTTGTTTTGTATGATGTTTCCGGCTTTGCAACCGTAATAAACACAATACTAACTTACTATTTAGAAAAATAAAACAATGTAGGTCGCATTGTAGGATTTGTAGGTAGATATATAATGAAAATTGATCAGATAAATATATTTTTATTTTGCGTCTGTCTTGAATAAATTGAAGGGTAGGCAATGCTTTTTTGCCTATATGTAATGCACGCCACTGAGGATGTACAATCCTGAGGTAATAATAGGCGGTTGAAGCGTAGTGCTAGACACATTGTATCCTTGTATACTGAACGGCTCTAGTATGGCAAGCTGTACCTTGCTACTCCCAAGGCGTTAAACGCTACATACGGGATCTATTATTATTATTATTTAAGTTTTAGGCTATCCCACTAGTACATACATTTTAAGCAGCCTTTAAACTAAATTGAAATTAATTTTTTAAACATAATTAAAATCTAACAAATTTTTTTGGAATATTCCGTCAGTCATCCATAATGAATATATCAATACATTCAACCAATAAATACAAATAAGTAATAAGTATTTCATTAAAAGACGGAGCTCTTTTGGGTGTTAAAAATAATTATAGCTTAGATAAACATAAATGAGTTGGTATGTTTAAACTCCACAAATATTTAAACATCATTACCTCAGTTTATCTATATTGCTTTAACACATCTTTATTAGTTCCAGCTCCAACCCAGCATGGGGATATTCGTTTATTTGATATAGCCAAATCAGTACACTGGATAATAGAAGAAAATGGAGGACTGGGCCTTAAAAGGAGGAAAAAGTTGGGAATATCAATGGAGGGATCAGATGATGAAGACATGCATTTACCGCCGTCAAATGATATATATCGACAGAGACAACAAAAGAAAGTTAGAACATGAAAAGTATATTTAATGTTTCTTTTATAAGCCATTATTTCCTTAGAGAAATATGGCCCTTATATATGTGGCTTTTTATAGATTATTGTAACAAAAGAATAATGTTTTTTTAAATAAATATTACAAATAACTATCTACACATATTTATAATTTTTCTATTTTAAATATCATTGCTGCACTAAATGGTATTTTATCAGGTATCCATACTTATTAAAAAAAACATTTAAATGATCTTCTAGAAAGGTATTCTTTCTAAACACATTCTATTGCATCTCTAGCAGCTTTCCTTTGGAAGTACCTTTTCACAGCTTCATCATAAGCTTCACCAACTGTTCTCTTTTTCCAAATATCAATTTTGGGTTTTGGAGGTTCTTTTATTTCATCTTTTATATCGTCATCTTCCTTAGTGTCTACCTTTTCACTTGATTCCTTATCGTCCCTATGATCATTCTTCTTGGCTAAAGCTGCGTTATCACTTAAAACGTTTCCTTTTTCTGGAAGTTTTAGCTTTTCCCCTTCATGCTCAATATTTCCATCTTTTTGGTCAGATTTTTTATCGTTTGTGTTTTTCCCTTCTTTATCACTTTCAGATGAAGAATCTATGCTAAAATCTGAATCGGCATCTAAATTTGATGGTAAATGTTCTTTTTTTACTTCAACTTTTTCTTCCTCTGATTCAGATTGAGACTGTAAATCTGATCTTTTGCGAGATCTATATTTTCTTTTCTTGCTCTTAGTGTTCCTTATAGTTTCATTATCATCAGAACCTGTAAAAATAAAAACGTGAGTAATGTGAATAAGTATTAATATATTGGTACCTACCTGACGCATCTTTAGATGGTCCAGGTGCATTTGACTGTTCTTTACTCTGTTCATCACTGTCTACTTCCTGTTTAATTTCCTTACTTGATTCATTTTCTTGTTTGATTCTGTCCTCGTAATTAATTTTCTGATCATACAAATGCCTATAAAAACCATCCAAATTACCTTGCTTTCTGACATCACCAATTGATTCCAAGTATTCTTCTCTTCTTTCTTGTTCTTCCAACGTTTTCAGTTCCTCTAATTTCTTTTTATACGCAGATGTAACAAACGATTCTTTATCTTTAAATGTTTCACCTAAAATTATATATGATAAACATAAATCTATGACAATATTCTACAATCTTTCTACCTTCTGCCTCCCTTTCTTTTTGAACCTGTTTTTCTATTCTTTTTTCGTTCTCTCTTTTTCTTCTATCTGCAGCAGCCAATAATTTACTTATGTACTTAGGTTTTTTGTCAATATCTTTTCGAGCTAATTTTGACTGAACTTTTTTCTGTGCCATTTCATCATAAATCTCGTCATATTGATAAACAGTAGGGTCTTCTTCAATAGCCTAAAAATGTCGCAGATATCAATAGAAACATTTGGTCCAAAGATTCTCTATCTTATATTTTGTTGTTTTAGAACTGCATCAAATTTAAAGTTACCAATTTTATATTTGAAGTGCTACACTCACTGCTAATTATATTTTATTTTCAAAAGTTGTTCAAATTATAAGTTAATGCAATAGCTATTTTAGACTTACCCTTTGTTGATCAATTTTATCTTGTTTGCGAACTATACCATATACTACAGGCTTTGAAACTGTAGGTGTGTCTGAATCGGAGTCATCATTAAATATAGAAGGACGGACCACAGTTCCTAAGGGTGTCTTTTTACTTTTATTCGGTAGTATTAATCCATATCTAGAAATATTAGAAATTATAAATTATATAAAATTAACAAAAAAAATCAGTAACCTACTGTTTTGACATATTTGCTACTTGACGAAAAAAAAAGAATCTCAAAATTACTCCAAGAAGGTAGGTTGGTAGTTTAATTATTAAAATTTTTCGGATGTAATAAAAACTAATGTTTAAAAACAAAATTATTTACGAAATGAAATTTTAGATTTGGAGGTTAATTGATTTGTCATTCATTTGAACTATTTTGAAATAAACATCAACTCATATAAACTACCAGAATCAGGAACTATTCAAGGATGACATGACTGCATATGAAATATAGACTGTTCGATCATATTAAATCGTGGGTCCAATAAGGACAGCGTGTTACGTCACAGGGGGACCTTTTAAAAAGTGCATTTAATTTCTTCTTCACTAAATAACATTTACGCTGTGTTAAATGTGTGAAGTTAATTCTTTATACTTTATATTAAGTATATTCTTATATTGATTATATAAAATTAATACTGTAACGAGCGCCCCATCCCCTATTAACTTATAAAACAAAATTTCTTTTCTGATAAAGTGTTTTGCAAAAAAAATCTAACCCTGTATAGTTTTTAGTTAACGTCATCAGATAGCTTTTGAAGTATTAAGATAGGAAAGTGACATTTATTCAGAGGAATTGAATTAATTATTCCGGCCGGTCACTTCCTGTTTCACCGGAAATGACTACAACTTTTGATTTTTTAAATGGCACTCTCGGTATTTTTTTACTTTATTCGATAGAAAATAACACTCTGAAAAGAATGACATATAATATGTCAACTTTTGACATTTTCGCATATGGTTTATTTGAAATTAAAACTTGCGGTTCGTAACGAAAATTTGACTCGAAATACCAATAAGTGTGTGGTATCAAATTATTCATAAAAAAATGCTTTGAGAAAAATTTGCTTTGCTAATGAGCCACCCTCGTTCCATTTGAAAGAATTGAGATATGATTAAAAATACGATTTGAGCATTTTCTAACTGGCCAGGACACGACACTAAAAACATTAGACGATCAAATCTATTTTTCCAAGGCTTCTTGATTAAGAATTAGTGTTTTTAACATATTGGCCATGGCACTTTATTAGATTGAATTTTAAAATACGATCTTTTATTATAAGCGAGAATGTCAAAAGTTGACATATGATATGTCATTCTATTTGGAATGTCATTTTCTATCTATTACCAAATTTATACCAAAAAATTGGTTAAGGTTCGAGTCGGACTCGCGCACGAAGGATTCCGTACCATTCATTATTATCTAGACACATTAGACACTATTGTATTATAAACTTTTTTTCCCGATTTAGCTGAAATTCTGAATGCGCGTATAAGTAATTTAAAAAAAATGAAGTAACACGGCATTACTAAAAATTGTATTAATCAATAATAAATATGTAAAAAGTAAAATTAAATATGTAAAAATATGTAAAAATTAAAAAAAAACGATTATAAAAAAGTCGCCTTGACTAGGATCCGAGCCTGCCTTACTACAGCTCCAACTTACGCTCCAGCGTAAAGTTCTAACGCTTTAACCACGCGGCCAACGAGGACCTGAAAGATTCTATGTAAAATTCTTACTTCAAAGATAATGTTTAGTGAAAGTACTTTTTTATTTATAAACATTTATTTAATTTTGTTTTTAGTACTATTTGTTCTTATAGCGGCAACATAGATACATTATTTGTGAAAATTTCAACTGTCTAGCTATAACGGTTCATAAGATAGACCTTGTTACAAACGGACGGACGGACGGACAGCGAAGTCTTAATAATATGGTCAGTGGCGTAGCTAAGTAACCAAGGGCTCTGGGGCAAATTAAAAAAATGGGGCCCCACTGCTATGTAAACTGATTAGGTTTTATCAAATAAAAATATGAACTATACAAATACTTTAAAAATGCTGAGCTACTTAAGCTCTTTTTTGTGCACTGCAGGGCAGGTAATTTAATTACAATTAATACTTGGTGTAGGTTTGGCTAATAAAACGAAATAGAGAAGATTCAACGGTTTATTATATAAAGGTTGGGCCTTCCATCTGACTAAATAACAATTATATTTACAATTTTTTCCTAGCTTTAGTTTTCGCAAAAGTATCAATGACTTCGTTTAAATCCAGGCTTGATGCGGTTTTGTTTTCAATTGCTATTAGCGATAAATGTCGGAGTCGAGTTTGGCCCATATTATTTCTTAAATAATTTTTTATTATTTTTAATTTGTTAAATGACCTTTCAAGGTCGCATTCTAGCACTCCATATTTGCACATTATTTTCTTACATAATTGGTGAACAGTCCATGCTTGAGTTAGTTGAGGTAAAACTAGGTGGTAAATATTAGTAAATTGACGTGAAAAACTAGTGCCTATTATATCTGAATATTTTCTTTGGAATTCGTCACACTTTTGTAATAAAGTTGCTTCATCAACATGTAATAAAACTGTTGGTGTTAGAAAATCGAATATATGACAGACTGCACTCATACCAATAAAACGTGTATCTAATTGAGATATTACTGTGTCTAGTACATTATTGAAAATCTCAATTTTAAATATTTTTTCTCGGTTTGGAAATCCGTGATCAGCAGCTAATTCATCAAAATGTTTTTTAACTTTTCTTTGCTTTTTTTCTTGAAAATGGGTATCAATACCATATTTTCTTACAGTTTCGCTGGCTTTGCACTAGACTAATTCGAAATAATTACTATAAATTTGCAACTTTGTTTTGGTCTCTGCTAAAACTTTACTCGCCTCGCCCAAATTGACGTCGCATTTTTGTAAAGTTTTGGATGCATAATTGCTGTCGGTCAATATACTGCACATAAAACGCACATATCCCTATTCGGCAAATTTACAACACTGCCAACCTACAGAAAGAATTTAGGGGAATTCCCTAGGCATAACTTTTGAATTTCCCTCAACTGAGTTGTCATGATTAAAGTGGGGTTGCAACCTGTCATATTTATTTTGAAAATGGAAAAAATTTCCAAAAGTTCAGTTCAATCGAGATTTCTGGTAAGGATTCGAGGGTCCCCTAGGCTTGAGGGCACCGGGGCACTGCCCCGCCTAGCCCCTAGGTAGCTACGCCACTGAATAGGGTTTCCGTTTTTACCCTTTGAGTACGAAACCCTAAAAAAAACAATATTCAGTTCACTCCCTTATTCTCTTTCCTGTCCAATAATTTTTCTCAGGAATTCCAGCTTTACATCGCGCGTCGCGTCGGTTTATAATTGTCAATACCGCAAAGCAAATAACTCTTTGTTTTATCACCAGAGTTTCGAAATGGACAATTAGAAATCTTCGGCTCGTCTACCCTGGAGGTAACAGTCTTCCGTGGAGCGAATTGATTGCTCGGCTCCATGTGTCGGTGAAGATCAAAGCGCCGCGCCAAGGACATCGGTTTCGCGGTGGTTTTCCCGCCGGCTGTCCAACGACCAAAGAATCCGTGTTTACGATCGAATTAAAAGCAACGCTTCGGGAAATGTAAATTCCCGATTCGCGCTTGTCTTCTAGCTATGTCTTATGTCTTCATTTATTTTTCTCCTTGCAATATTTTAGTACTAAAAAGGTACTTCTGTGTTAAAACTTGATGAAACACAACACAACTGTATTCTGGAAACTAAAGCTTCGTTCAGAACCTCGCAATTAGTGGAATAAATTAGTGGTTTTAATTATTACACTTTATAATTTTTAGTCGGCCTGACGATGGAGAACAATCTCCGAAACCGGTCGTCGAATGGCTGTTTCGTTCGGTCTGATGAACTTAATGCAGAGAATAAGCATATATGTAGGGTTTTTTGGCCCCTTTTACCGCTACCCGTATTTTGTTTATTTATATATACCCTACCTAAGCCTTCTTAGCTCCATCTACGGCAACGTGGATGAAGCAAGCATGTTGATAATTTTTAGTTTACGATCATTTGCAATGTTTAAAAAAAACAATTAAAATTAATAAAGTATCCTAGCAACAGCTTGCGTTAGTTAGTTGTATTCATATAGAATCCTAATATTTAGCTTAGGAAACAATCAACTTTTGATTTCTAACCACAATTTCTCTTGACGGAAGATAATAAAGGCCAAAATGACATTCCTCCAAATTTTGAAGTATAATTAGTGGAAAAGTTAAAAGTTTGATAACTTTTTCTACTAATTGAAAATGTCGACCACCAATTTTGACGTTCTGAATGCTTACACTGAAATTAAAAGAACAAACTTCTATACTAATTGAAACCACTAATTTATTCTACTAATTGCGAGGTTCTGAATGAAGCTTAAGCTCATTCAGCTTTTGATTTCTAACCACATTTTCTCTGGACGGAAGATAATCCAAGGCCAAAATGACATTACTCGCAAAATTTGAAGTATACCTAATTAGTGGAAAAGTTAAAAGTTTGATAACTTTTTCTACTAATTGAAAATATCTAACACTAATTTTGACGTTCTGAATGCTTACATTGAAATTAAAGAAAGAAACTTCGAAACGAAAAGAAACGCTAATTAAAACCACTAATTTATTCCACTAATTGCGAGGCTCTGAATGCAACTTAAAGAATGAAACTTAAAATTACATTTCATATTTTTTAGATTACGATCATTTACAATATATAAAAAACACAATTAAAATTAATAGAATATCCTAGCAACAGTTTCGGGTAGTCAGTTGTATCCATAGAGAAAGCCCAATATTTAGCTTATAAAACAATAAACTTTTGATTTCTAACCTTTTCTAACCACAATTTATCTTGACGGATGATAATCAAAGGCCAAAATGACATTCCTCGCAAATATTGAAGTATAATTAGTGGAAAAGTTAAAAGTTTGTTAACTTTTTCTACTAATTGAATATTACTACCACTAATTTTGGCCTTGTGAATGCTTATATTGATATTAGAGGAATAAACTTCTCCGCTAACGGAAACCACTAATTTACTCCACTAATTTGGAATTAAAACCAAAACAAACCACAAATTTTTTGACGGATGATAATCAAAGGGCAAAATGACATTTCTCGCAAATTTTGAAGTATAATTAGTGGAAAAGTTAAAAGTTTGTTTACTTTTTCCACTAATTGAATATTACTACCACTAATTTTGGTCTTGTGAATGCTTATATTGATATTAGAGGAACAAACTTCTCCGCTAACTGAAAACACTAATTTACTCTGCTAATTTGGAATTAAAACCAAAACAAACCACAAATTTTGAAGTATAATTAG